TTTGTTTTACAATATAGCTCGTCATAAGAATAATATTATAACGGTATTATTATTGTTAGTAGTAGTAGTAGTAGTATGTAGACTGACAATATCACAACGAAAAAGGTTTGAGTCTTCTTTAAAGTTTAGATACAGACTTTTTCTTTGTTCAATTTGCACACTGAATATGGGCTGGAGCTCTTTATTTTGAACTCTCAAAGTAGTGTTGTCAGTCGATACTGAAATTTCAAAAATGTGACGCTTTGAGCGCTGTTGAGCGGAATCATAAACACCTCTGATTGGCCATTGTGTTCATGAGCTCATCGGATATGTCTGTCATTGGACGGGACGGGAGCGTTTGAAAGTTTTTTGAAAGCACAAGCAGGACCGATCCGCTGATAGACGCCTGTTTTCAAATACTCGCGTGTGTGTGTGTGTGTGTGTGCAAGCGCTCGCTGAAGAGCGTCATTGATGTATATTTATTTACAACATGTTTTTGAAGCGCTGATCATTGTAGCCAATCACAGACATATTTGATGAGCGTGTGAGTACAATGGCCAATCCGAGGTGTTTATGGTTCACATTTTTAAAATTTCAGTATCGACTTGGTACCGAAGTCGGTACTTTTGACAACACTATCTCAAAGTAGGGGTGGGCGATATGAGCAAAAATTCATATCACGATATTTTTCACTGTCCGGACGATATCGATATTATATCGCGATATGAGAAAAAAAAAATTGGAATCACATTTTAGTACACCTTAGTTAAATTACAGGCAAAATATGTATTTTAACACTAGATAACTAGAAAAAGGTGAGGCATTTCATTGGACATAGACCTGAAATGTGTTTTTTTATTGTGCCATTTTTTTTCTCAAAAAGTGCAAACGTGCAACATGAGGTAGGCCTGAATGCACTTGTTATGTCTTTCCACTTTTTGCTCGTCTTGTCATAATGAGAACCGGCAGCGAATGAAGACTTTATTGATTTCAGAGTGAGAGCCTATCTGTTGTTATAGTTTTGCTTTTTTAAATTAGTTTTTATTTTAATATCGTTTTCAATTTTGCTTTAAATTTCAGTTTAGTTTTAGCTAGTTTCATTAATGGTTTTGTTAGTTTTTATTTTGCAAACACATTTCTATATAGTTTTTATTTTATTTAGTTTCAGCTTTAGTAATAATAGTTTAGCTTTAGCAGAGCAAGCAGAACACTTCCAGTGTAGACCAAAGCGAGACGTTTAATTTAAGTTTAATGTTTGCACAGATTACAGTTAACTCTTGTGCAGACATCTTAATAATAAAAATAAAATAATGGGTTGAGATTGAACAAAGCACTAAATAAATAGAACTTAAAAGTATACAAGAAAAAAACAATGAAAATTTTCATACAAAATAATTCATTAGTGTAAGGAGACAGAATAAAGGCCTACAGTTTGTACAGTATAAAACCCATTACGTCTATGGAGAGTCCCCACAAAGATAGTGGACCAGTGTGTGTATGCGCGCGCTTATGTGTGTGTCGTGTCCTGTTATTCATAGCCTAACGTTACATTGCGGGGAAATGTCTCCACGTGGATAATATTATTAGCAGTAAATGTTTTGTAAAAACAAAGATAATAATAGCAGCTTTCAGCCTTTCAACCTTCATGAAAACATGACATCTCAAACATACAGTAGCCTGGAACTTTAACGTTTTTTTGTGCTTGACGAACTTGTTTTGGTGTTGCACCCGCGTCTCGCAAATGAAACGGCATTCTAAAAATGCTGCGCTCAAGTTAAAAGTCAAACTTGCGTTTTATTACCTTGTTATTTCCCATTCCACCGCAAAATATGCATCCTTTATGAACAGTCGCTTAGCACTAGCGATGTGTTCTACGTTACGGTCCTTCATTGAACGCGTCACAGGACAGCGGTTAATCGCCTCAGCAACTTCACGCGTATGAAGCGCCAAATTAGCCACTTCCTTAAACAGCGTATTCGATTCTGTATCGTCATTAGTGTTAACAGTTGTAAAGAGTACCAAATTGAACAAAACAATATAACTGCAAAATTTGAATTTATGAATACGGTATCCTCGGTATCGCAAAATCCATATCATGGCACAACATAATACCGGTATTCACGTTCATACCGGTATAGCGCCCACCCCTACCTCAAAGTGCATCAAAGATTGATGAATTTAACTTTAAAATGTACAACATTTTCTTCCGGGGGACATGCCCCCGGACCACCTTAAAGGGACGAGGTCCACCCACCACAGTTACACAATATCCTATGGGAAACACTGCTATATTTGTGCGCCATCATATTTGGATGCTATTGCAGTATTTCAAAGCATACAGTGCATGTCCTCAAAACATGGCATTACCATGATGCATTTTGGTACTTTATAAGTATCTAGTTTGTAACAATAAAAATAAGCAATGCATCTGATTTCAATTGTTCTATAACTTGTTTTCATGCATTCAGGTTTGAAAATGTACAGTTCTAAAGAGGAGACAGTCAATATCACTAACAAATAGTTTACCACCGCTGCACATTCAGCTTCTTAAAACTGTTAATGCAGTATTTTTATTCTTACAAACTAGTTACTTATAAAGTACCAAAATGCATCATGGTAATGCCATGTTTTGAGGACATGTACCATTGTATGCTCAGCTTAACTGTTTGCAATATCCAGCAGTCTGTTCATGGACATTGTTTTGGCTGTGGAATTTCCTCTTCAGGAATGACCTCACAGTGCAGCAATTCAGTTTCACATTTAAAAAAAAGAACTAGATAAATGCTTTATAAAAACAGAAACCGTCCCGACTGTCAACCACAGTCTAGAACAGAGAGCTACCAATAAAAAGACTAGTATAATTACATTATTCCTCTCACATCAAAACAGCCGTGAAGATTTTACAAATTCAACAATTTAACAATAAAAGGGAATAGAAGAACTCAAAATACAAAAGTAAAACATATTTGTAGCGTATTATAAAAGCTGAAACTCTACCTTCAAGTAATACAGGATTAGATTACAGCTTCCTTTTTCCCTCCTATCCAGGTTTACCAGAAGCCTTTAAACACATCCAGCTTTGTTTCTTCTCTTTGCATTTCATAAGAAAAAAAAAAAAAAAAACGGAGGGGCATGGTGTCATTTTACTGCTCGAGTTGAAACTCCTGCCAGCTCCTCCTGCTGCCTGTAGTGGGGGCTCTGTGAGGGGGAGCTCTTTTGGGGGCTTTCATTTTTTTTAAGTCTACTTTATCTCTTGAATGTTTTAGCAGAGGAGTTCAAAAGGAAACAAAAGTGTGAAATAATACTGCAACCATGCAACAGGTCTGTGTTTTTTTAGGGGCAATTTCCTGTTCAGACAGCTTCGACTCGCTTGTTGTGGAATGACAACCGTCAGGAAGTCAGGTGGTCATATTGCAACAAGCAGACTACCATGCAGATCTGTTGCACTGCAACAACCAGTGCTGCATTCAATGACAAGCCTGTATGACTACAAAATTAGAGAAAGAATGAATGCTTTCTGGTTTGATGCAGTATCGGAAGGCATCTTTCCAGGAACACTAAAAATACTAGAGTGCATTTATTTCTTCACTGCTGAAATGCAAAAATGACAACGTGCTTGTAGAAATGTCAAAAGCGGAATCAAGTGGAGAGAAACTGAAATATAACAACAAGTTTCTCTTGAACACTCCCAAAAGAAGTTGCAGACATGATCAGGTCTGCCATTTGTCTTAAAATTACAAGTATGCATGAACAGGTCTTGACTTGAAACGCCTTTCCATATTTGGTGCCAGCTATGTCAGTAATCTATTACTATTAGAGGCAAAAAGACAAGGTACTATCTTTTAGAAGTCTGAAGCTTTGCTTTTGGCATTTTTAAGTGATTTTCCAGCCTCTTAATGACGTAATACTTGCCATCTTTGTCAGTGTCTCTTCCTTGAAAGCAAACATATTGTGCATGGTCATTGCTAAGCAACAGTTAGATGATTTAGTCAACACACTAACCCTTTGTCGCAAAACACAGACGCTACAAATCATTTCTTGAAGGGGTTTCCATTGTCTGACCCTATTTTACAAAGAAAAAAAAGAGATCATGATAAACTTTTGACTTTTTCATAGACAGATGTTCAAAATGAGAGGTGGAAGGAAAAACAGGAAGGTAGACTGGGACATGTTTTGAAATTTTAGATGAGGACCAAATAGTTTCCAGCTGGTATTTATTTGGATGAATAAGTCATGAAATATAATTTAAGTGCGAGTGAATGTTTATTATCTAGTCAAAATAAAAAAGGAGCAAGTTATTGTTTTGCACACAGCAAAGTCAACTTTATTGCCTAAGTACTACTCGGTATCATGAAGAAGACAAGGACATCTGGGTCAACAGATAAGTAAAAAGTCACCCGGGGTAACCAGGGAGGGGTGGGTACTGGAAACATGATTCTTGGATATTTGCCGTGCGAATCTCTGAGCAGCAGCGCTTCACCCAGATACCGAATGAGGTAGATGCAGTATTTACATCACAATACTTTAAGGTCTTTTCCCAAGCTCAAACTACTTTTAAAGAGGGTTTCAAAAAAGACATATTCCTACATTAAATTTCATCATTTCCACACATTTTTGACTTTCTATAAGTAAGACCACAGACACACCCGCAAACTTTTCCTAAGGAGAGCTGTTACCAGACTTAACCAAGCGTCAGTCACACCACTGGCCTTAAGCTACTGTGAGAGCGAAGACAAGGTCAAGAGATAAAGACCTGAGCTATCAGCCTTTCCACATCACTCGGTGGAAAAATGCTACACCCACTGACACGTTTCTATGATGTGCCTTGGTCTGGATAAAAGGCAAAGTATGGTCACTTGTGATAAATGTCTTTGCTTCTCTTTCCAATCAGAAATAACAAATAGGGCAATATCATTAATGAATATGGGTTGATAGCTGATGCTGTGACAATGCATTGAGCTAAAAAAAACCTCCAATAAATGCTATTGGTAATATTTAGCCCCGTACACAATAATTCTTACCTTTATACCAGCCCCTTCTTCCTTATCGTCATTCCAATGAGCTCTACACTTTTCTCCATCCACTCTCCATCCGTGTTTCGAACGATTTCCCTGAAAACAAAAGGATTAAATGGCAGATAAAACATAACGTGGCTTCATCTTTAGCAACACGTTACGCACAGCTACATTTCCAAATAAATGATGCAGCAAGGCATTTAGTAAAAGGGAGAAAGCTTCTGGTAATCTCCTTAACGGATTACATTGGGAAATTACTCCTCTATAAACAGACAACCATCTCTGTGGGTCACACAGGCAAACACTTTTTCGATGACTACCTATACTCTAGATCTGCACAAAGATTTGCTGATCTATGCAAGATGCACAATGTTTATCTAGTAAGTGAGATCAATGAGGTCAACAACTTGCTGGCAATATGCAGCATAGATTTACAATAATATAAATAATTATACACAATTAACTTTTGCTTGTTAATTTTGCACAATTAACAAGACAAATTATTGGCTTCTAATTATTTCATGGTATTAAATTAGTGTATTGGGTAGGGTTGCACCAGCCATTCGTTAGTTCTTAAATTGGAACGTTAAGTCCACACTAGAGGCTTTATAACTACTAGCTAGTTTGAAACTAACTCTGTACATTATTCAGTTGCACCATTTGTTCTTGAAGGGTTAAGTTCACCCAAAAATGAAAATTATGTCATTAATGACTCACCCGCATGTCGTTCCAAGCCCGTAAGACCTCCGTTCATCTTCGGAACACAGTTTAAGATATTTTAGATTTAGTCCGAGAGTTTTCTGTCCCTCCATTGAAAATGTATGTACGGTATACTGTCCTTGTCCAGAAAGGAGATAAAGACATCATCAAAGTAGTCCATGTGACATCAGTGGGTTAGTTAGAATGTTTTGAAGCATCGAAAATACATTTTGGTCCAAAAATAACAAAAACTAAGACTTTATTAAACATTGTATTCTCTTCCGGTTCTGCCTTCATGAGTCCGCAGTGACGCTACCAGAGAACACGTCTCACTGCTGACAGAACCGGAAGACAATACAATGTTTAATAAAGTCATAGTTTTTGTTATTTTTGGACCAAAATGTATTTTCGATGCTTCAAAACATTCTAACTAACCCACTGGTGTCACATGGACTACTTTGATGATGTCTTTATTTCCTTTCTGGACAAGGACAGTATACCGTGTATACATTTTCAATGTAGGGACAAACTCTCGGACTAAATCTAAAATATCTTAAACTGTGTTCCGAAGATGAACGGAGGTCTTACGGGCTTGGAACGGCATGAGGGTGAGTCATTAATGACATAATTTTCATTTTTGGGTGAACTAACCCTTTTAAGGCAGAACGTAGCTAGTAGGCCGTAAGCTTTCCGTAAAGTAATGCGCAGCTAGATAAGACGTTTACCCTCAATATTCCAAGCAGCCTATATATAAATAATGGTGCAACGCAAACATATTTAGTAGTGGGCAAGTTGTAGCTTAGTGCCCATTTAAGTCAAAACTAGGCTAAGTTGTAACTTACGCACAGCTGGTGCAACCGAGCCCTGGTACTCAGTACTAAATCTTGATAGGAATGGATGACATTGGTATCATACCAGTTTTCGGGTAATATTTAGTGATGTAACAGTGAGGAAATTCACAACGGTAAAAAAAAAGATCTATTTTAAGACAACACCGGTAACACCAACTACCACAGCAAGCAGTCGAGACTCGAGTGTTTGAAATTACTGAGCTAATGTGGCTTCTTATCATAGAATGAGGCAGACAATATATTATTTCATAGTATTCTATACAGTGATAAAGGCTATGTCAATTAGCACTGCATTATAATATTTACTCGATTAAATTTACTCTTAAATTAAATTAATTTTCGGCTAATTGAACATTGCGAACGTGACACGAGATTCTTACGCGAGAGACCCGACACAAACTTGAGGCGGCAAAAAAGAAACCAAACATGAGGCGGTCAAAACGGAGTGGACTACCAGCTATATACAGCGTGCTAACCTCGAAAATCCAGCTGTATTCGAACAATAACTTAGCTCTCCTTATTAGCTAGGCTCCTTACATGCTGGCTAATAACTTTTTTTAAAGCTGGGTCTCAAACATTAACAGCGCTGTGTTGGACAGATTTGTGCAGCGGTGTTCCATGAGGGAGAGAGAGCGCGATAGGTACGGGTGAGTGAAAGCGCGAGAGGTAGTGCTGCGCGAATGCGCTACGGCGCTCTGCAATCAAATACGATTTTAAATAGGCTTAGTAAAAAAAAAAATATCGAAAATCAATGTGTGGCGATCAGCATTGATATTGTGGCGGGCCGCCACAAATAAATGAACGTATGGGAAACTCTGCCCTCTAATTTTACTGTCACCTTCATCAGGGATGATTTAAGTTGTGTTCAGTTCTATATTTGAAGTTTCCAGGTCTAGTAATTTTACTTTTACCTTTCTCAGACCAAGGGGGATTATAAGTGCTGCTGCTAATGTTTCAAGTTTTTAATACAAGTAGTTTAGATTATTAAATGTAGGCTTAATAATATAGTGTAGGCTAAGCCTACCCATATAGATTTTTATTTAAAATGTATTTTATGTTGCTTAATGTTTCACATGCAACAAGTGAGCTAGTGCACAATTATTTTTTATGCATTTTAATTTTCTGTGCATAATTTATTTTGTTAAACTACTTAAATGCCATTATCTGTACCGTATCCCAACTGTTACAATAAAACATCAATTGAGCAATATAACATGCATTTTTATTCAGTATATAAGCTAGGGCTGGGGTAAACGATTATTAATTAAACGATTAGTCTGTCGATTATTTTATCGATTAGTCGACTAATCTAACGACTAATTGAACGATTCTTTTTTGTAACATGGAAATTGCAGGAGTGCACATTCAATGCACAACAATTTTGATCTGGTTCTTACAGAGTATCTACACTGTAAAATGTTTGGTAGGCTACTCAAATGAGCCCTATCACACTTGGATGTGGTGCTCATTTTAATGTTTTCAGTGCTCATAAAAAACATCCGGACTGTACCGCCGGGAACGGTGCAAAAAAAAAAAAACATAAATAAATAAAGAAGCGTCGACAAAAAAACTTGTATCAATAAATATATCAAAAGTGTCACTGACAAAACCTTATTATCATCTATTTTTAGTCTTAATTGCTCTAATCTCTACCAGTGGAGGAAGAACTCAGATCTTTAATATCATAATGAAAACGTTTTTAATTACATATGTACAGTACTTTTATACTATTTTAAATATGTATTAAGCAAAATGTACTAAACGTGAAACAAAGTTTCACTTTATATATTATTATTCTATTATTCTTTATATACTATTATATATTATATATCACACAAAGTGAATTATGTAAATTATTGGAATATTGCTTGATGTTGTAAGCGTTATAGGCAGAATGAGCTTCAACACTGTCTACACCGGACGCGGCCGTTATTGCTCGCGTCGCAACAGCTGTTTACCCGAGACGCGAAAAAGCGCCCATTTCAAAGCAGAATGGGGCATCAGTTTACTGTCGGAGATTTGTCGCTCGCGCAACGCATTTTAACCTGTTAAGCTTCAAGCCCACTTTTGAAAAATCCCCAGAAATGACATACCCAAACTGAAACAGATACAGTTCATGAACCCTTTGCACTAAAAGCACAAGTATGATCTCATTTGAAAGCTGACACCTGGTTGTTTATTGTAAATGTAGAATTAATTATTGTCATAATGAAAAAAACAATTTTAAATAGCTTCAAAGTTTTGTAAAGTTATTAGAAATTTATTTTTATGAAACATCTTCATGAAAATAAAATTGAAGTTGGCCCTGGAGCAATCTAGAAATGCACTGCAGCTAAAGCCACATGTCTGACCATTTTATATTTAAAATCTGAAAATGATAAGTATAAAAATCTGTATTTAGTTAAATGTTTTTCAAGATCATGTCAAATTACTTTATTTTGATTAGACTCTATTAGCAAACTGATGTTTAGTCATCTTCTGAGTCATCTATTCAGTCTATTGTCTCTATTGTTTTGTGGTGCCCCATTCAGTGTCAGTCTCCCCTGCACACATTTACACCTCTCCAGACTGGTTATTATGACTCTAAATATGCATTTCTTTTGTCTGCATTATAGCTACTAACGACTGGCTATTCACAGGCTATTCATAGGGTTTCAAACCCTAATTTCTTTTATCAAAGTTCTCACTAAATATTTGAAACTGGTATCAAATGCACTGAAACATTTCAGTAAGCATTCCTATTTAGAAAAAAATCATAAAACAATAACTGCTGTTAGCAGGTGCACCTGGGCTAGCTAGCATGTTAGCTTAGCACACCATCAATACACGACCATTTGTGAGATTAAAACCATGTTTGTGCTCCAAACTTACTATATAACGCAAGTCTAGTGTTTTAAATAATCTTCTGTGATCTAACTTGGCTTCAGATTAAAAAAAATCCGACAGAAAATGTATTATTTAGTGTTCTGAACGATGATGAAATCTATATCGATTAGCATTACATTATAAATATAATCTATTATTATGAAATACCTGGCATGGCTTGAAGAACACAGGTAACTCAAATATCATTGCAATCATGTTTATTGTCTTCAAAACATCTTTATCTGCATGTTACAGCGATCTCTGTCAGCTACTTTCTGTATCACTCAGTGACGTCCTGGAATGTCACATGACTATGGGTCTTCTTCATGATCCATATATGGACTTTTATTGGACATAATAGCGCCCCCATGCTATTGGTATGAATGGAAAACACAGCACATCTCAGTAAGAAGCGATCATAATGATTACATCGACGCATTTGGGTATAAATTCAATAAATATTATTCCTGTCTATAGAAATATGATGTGAATCTATGACAATATATCAATATTTCTCCACATCTGCACATTGTTGAGCTAAAAGCCCTCAGGGACGTTGTTTTGTGAATCGCTGTCATGACGACAGCACGGAGTGTTTTTTATGAATGGACCGGCTGACGCTCATAATTCATATTAAAGGTATCGACTCATTTTTTTCATTTCATAACTCCTGACACAAAT